ATGGACAAGTCATCTGAGAAGTCTGAATCGTCTGGTTGCATCTTACCTGTCCACTTTATTCCGCGCTTTCCCTCAGATGTCAACCACCAGAAGAAATAGGAAGGGGGAGAGTAGACAGTTTTATCTAACTCTGGTCCTTACTTGGAATGCATCTGTCAATTAACCTCCATGAACGACGTCGCGCTGTATTCCATCGTATGAATTCCGTATGATGTTGACGATCTTCTCAGGGACACGATAGTTTCAAAGAAGGCTCCGTGAGATTTTCCTATCCTCACTGCCAAATGCTTCCTCACAATCAAGGAAGTTAATATATAGTGATGAGTTCCATTCAATTGATTGTTCAATGATGATCCGTAGTGTTGCGATTTGGTCTGTGTATGACCGATCCCTACGGAATCAAGACTGTTGATCTCGAATTTGAACGTCTAATGAGTTTTTCATCCGTTTCATCAACACTATGTTGTCAACTTTTCCTGGTGCTGACAGTAGTGTGATGCCTCTGTAGCTCTCACATTTGCTCAGATATCCTTTGTTTGGTATCATGACTAGGTGTCCTTCTTTCCAGTCCATCGGCACTTTTTCTTCCCAAATCTTCCTGAGTAGAATGTGGAGCATGTTTGCAGTTAATTCTGTGTCTGGCTTTAGTGCTTTGGCTGGTATATTGTCAGGTCCCGCTGCTTTCCCACTCCTGATTTGTCTGATGGCCATCCTGAATTCATCCGTTGTTGGTAGACTGACACCTATAGAAAGGTCTGCGTGTGCTGCTTCGATGTCCGTTGAGTTCAATGGAGCTGGTTTATCTAAGAGTCCCTCAAAATGCTCCACACATCTGTTCCTCTCTCCCTAAATTTCAGTGATTGGCTTGTCTTCTTTGTCCTTGATGGGTCTCCATAGATTACTATATTTCTCTGCTAGCTGTCTCATATTTCTTTCTCTTGAAGCTTTTTCCACTGTCATTACCACGTTTTCCACACACTTCTGCTTGTTAGTTCTAGTGCTCTTCTTTACTTGTTTGTTTGCTTCTGTGTATTCAGCTTGTTCATTGGCTTCCTCTGTTCTTGTTCGGCTGTTGTTAATTGCTATCTTATTGTTCTTCCTTTCTTGAACTTTGCCCAGGGTTTTGATAAAAATCCATTCCTCATGATGATGCTTGTTGCGGTCTAGAACATCCTGAGACGTTGACGTTAGTGCTTCTTTGATCCCTGTGCAATCGTCCCCAATAGTTGTTTCTGAATCTTACAGTAATGTTGTAAGGATAAGAATCTGTTGCTAAGATCCACCTTTAATTTGTCAGTATCTCGATGAAAGGCTGTATTGAACCCTTTTAATGCTGTTTGTCCAGTTGTCCAATGCTTCTTTGGCTTCAGTTTCATCTTGAAAATCACCAGTTGGTGATCTGAAGCTATTTCAGTCTTTCTCCTGGTCCTCACGTCATCCATTGACATTTTGAATTTTTTACTAATGCCAATATGATTTATCTGGCTCCCCTTGGTGTGATCCGTGTATCTTTGTGTGGGAATATTGAGCCTTTATGACCAATTTGTTGAATGCATATAGATTTGAGAATCTGTCACCGTTCTCGTTCCTTTCTCTCAGTCAGTCCATGTCGTCTTATGATATCTTCATACCCCATGTTATCCATTCCGAACTTGACATTTAGAACTCCCATCAGGATTGTCAGGTTGTTTCCTGAGAATTTGGCTATGATTGATTGCAGCCTCTCGTAGAGCTGATCTTTATTGTCATCGTTATTATCATTGGTGGGTGCATAACATCGCATAACATTCATTGTGATTCTTTTCTTGTTTGTTTTGAAGGATGGTTTGATGATCCTGGATCCATGAGATTCCCACCCAATTAATGCATTTCGTGCTTCTTTGGACAACATCTGAGCAACTTCCTGAGTGTGTGGAGCACTTTCTTCTTCGCGATCAGAGTACTGCAGCATCTCTTCTGAATCTATTCTCTTATTTTCAGCTTGCATCCAGTGGGTTTCACTGATTCCGAGAACCGCCGAGTTGTATCTCCTCATTTCTGTAGCTGTTTGACTAGTCCTTCCGATCTCCCACATTGTCCGGACATTCCATGTACCTATATTAATTGTTTCTCTGGTTGTTAGAAAAGGAATCGGTCTCATGACGTCCGAAGAATCTTGGCTTTCATCGTGAGGTGTCACAACTGTTTCTTCAACTCATTGATTAAAGTATCTCTTACCAGTTTACTGATATTATTGTTGATAATGATAATGTCAACATTATGATAGCACTGACAAATTCACCAAGAATTGATAAATTCGGAAACAAAACCTCAGTTACAAGAATTTATTTTCGTTTATAATTCTTATTTTTACGAGGCCAATTTAGAATCCACACAGTGATAATTGCAAATTAATAATAAATATGTGATTATAACAATTGATTTACAGTCTGTCCAACGTACTCGGTGTAAAATCAGAACAAAATTCTTGGGATATCCGAGTTATCCGCCTAAAAATACTCTTTATACGTAATGCAATCATTGTCACATCTCTGTTTTGATTGTTCAAAATCTCTATAGAAGGTCATTAGAAGTCAGTTTATTCAATTTCTTCATTGTTTCAGGCTTTTAAATTCATTTAATTGTTTGGACAAAACTCTTACTATCAGTTAACACGAATATCTTAGCGAATATGTTTACCTCTGATGTAATAATATTGAAGTCACAATAGGAAGTATGATAAGATAAGGTCTATTTCAAGCCAATTTGTCCTTCAAACAAGATAGTTGTGAATGTACGAGCATTCGGATAGAAATTAAATGTAAGTCAAGTATATATATGCATATATGAGTCATAATACCTTTATTTAGAAAATATATTCAACCAAAAATGTAATGCTATGAAGTCAGTCGTCCAACAGACATACACAACCCATTCATATACCCATTTGTACACAATTTATAATTACCTATATGAATGAATACAAGAGAACGGATAAGATTGGTAATTATACATTCGACTAAATAAACCCTTGTCTCATATCTTTCTAAAACAGAATAACAAAAAAAGAATGAAATGATTAATCTGTCCAAAAATTATAACAAGGTCCATAAAAGGTGTCAGGATCTATTTCAGCACAACTTTAACAGCATTAAACATCATGAAAATCTTCAACCTTAGCTACAAATATTCACCATGTGATTATCAAATCTTTGTTTTGTCAAATTGACATTTATTACATTTAAAAGAAATGAATCGAATAATCATTATGCACATATGCCAATAACAGACTGATCAATCGTAGTCTTAAACCTCAATGGGAAGATACAAGCCAAACAATACCAAGTGAATTCAAAGTCACCCCATTGCACAAGCAAGTGGCTATCAGGACTCAGTAGCTGAGTGGATAACGCGATGGCGTTTGAAGCGAATGGTACTGGGTTCGAGTCCCAGAGTGAACATCAAGTCTCTAAGATGCAGGTACATCCAGCTGGCGAGTCCCAAATAGGACGAAACGCGCGTCCTGAATTCCACTGCTAACCAGTATCCATCATTGCTTACAAATAGCTTGTGAATTAAGGTAATATCGAGGCATACGCACAGTGTGCACATATGCCAATAACAGACTGATCAATTGCAGTCTTAAACCTCAATGGGAAGATACAAGCCAAACAATACCAAGTGAATCATTACGAAGGATTTTACCATGACTGTCTATGATTAAGGCATGATCAGACACTAACATTGAAATATTAATCAAATTTTGAAGTTGTGTATATTATGGATAGAAAAATAAAATCTACAATAAATCGTACATAAAACTCCATTTAGTAAACAATACTGTAACATTATGTTGTATATGACATAAGTAAGCTGATGAATATATCAGATAAAAACATGTAACATGACAACAAAACTAAGTTAGGGATATTAGTAACAGTGTAAAACAAAATGATGATTTTAAAAAAAGTGACACGAAACAATTTTCAGAATGGGGATTTGTGGAGATTGTAGTAATTTAACAGTTGAATTCACGAGGTTTTCTAAGCTGGACCACCACTGAAAACCTGGAAGCACTAGACAGCTGTTTCGTTCAGCATGGGACTCTTCGACAGTACATATCCATGACCCCGCATGCGGGATTCAAACGCAGGACCTTAGGTCTTGCGCATGGATAATTAACCTCTGGACGACTGAGCCGATATCCAAGGGTGTTAATGTTTAGTTTCATGATCTTGTGCAACCATTCATCTATTGCCTGAGGTGGATAACTGTCTCACACTCGACACGAATTGGACTCCACTGGTCACAGCTTCTCACTTAAATCCCAATAAATCCATCTTGAAGGTAGTCACTAGTGAGCTTATGATTATTATCAGGACGCGGATTTGTGGAAATTGTAGCAATTCTAACAGTTGAATTCAATTTTTACAATCTAAAATATAGATTATGGAAATGTCATCAGTTTTCAAATGTGCATATCTATACATACATGCTCTGTCCTGCAAATACATTAGTAAAGATCATAAAAACATCAATTAATAATAGTTAATAGAATTCATATAGTTTAAATCATGAGTTCGTCTTGGCTAGACCAATAGTGCAAACTAGGGACGAATAGATAGCTATTTATTCTTAGTATGGGACTCATCAGCAGTCCTGATACACAACCCTACTCTAGGGAATACGACCCAGCATCTTCGATCTCTCACATGGACGCCTAACGTGTAAACTACTGAACCATCATTCAATGATGTTCATATCTAACTTCAATCAATTCGCGGTATTACGCAGTCATTTTTCATTCTATGAGGTGGATAACTGAGTTACATTTGAAATGATTGAACTCCACTGGTCACTCTTGTCTCTAAGAATTTCATCCTGAAGCTATTCACAAGGGTCCACATTAATGTAGGTAGGCCTATGGAGTTTATTGAATTTCCATAGTTCATATCATGAAGTGATTTTAGCTAGACCATTCTACGTTCTCCAAAACCATTCCCTCTCTAAGCTGATAAAGGAGAACTTCTAAAAAGGAAAATGATTGGTAATTCTACTTATAATGATCTAAAACCACGTGGGTCACGTCTGCCTCATATGTATGGTTTACCAAAAGTTCACAAGCACGACGTTCCCCTTAGACCTATCCTATCAATGATAAACTCACCGTATCACAAAGTTGCACGCTGGCTAGCAGAAAAACTAGAACCGGTTCGTCGAAGATTAGCAACATATACGTTGAAAGATTCATTCCAGTTTGCTGATAGACTAAATCGTACGAATGTTGCCGATAAGTTCATGGTTTCTTTTGATGTAACATCCTTGTTCACCAATATACCACTTCTTGAAACTATTGATATAATTTGTCAGAATTATGATCTCCTACCTTTACCAGCCCCGGAATTCAAAAAACTACTATTAATGTGCACAACAGACGTTCAATTCCAGTTTAATAACACCATATATCGTCAGATCGACGGCGTAGCAATGGGAAGCCCACTAGGTCCAATTCTGGCAGATATTTTTATGGGGTATCTTGAAAACATGGTGCTTAAACAGACGATCAGCGAAACGACGGAATATTCCAGATATGTTGATGACACGTTTATTGTCTGTAACAATAAACAGCATGCAATCCACATGCTAAAACACTTCAATAACGCTCATCCTAACATACAATTTACTATGGAACACGAACAGAATGACATGTTCCACTTTCTTGATGTTGCTATAAAACGTAGGAGAGACGGGACAGTTCAACGTTCGATTTATCGAAAAAGTACTTGGAATGGCATTTACCTGAATTTCAATAGCTTTTGTCCACTCAGTTACAAGAAGGCATTAGTTAAAACACTATTTTATAGGGCAGAAAAGATATGTACCACTGACAAACTCGAAGAAGAATTGATGAAAGTGGAAAAATGCCTGCGAGACAACTTTTACCCACAAAAGTTTATTGACAAGTATAAGAAGCGTAAACAAAACAATACTGAAGTAATTACTGTCAATAAAAAACCAATAACTATAAGTCTTAATTTCAAAGGTGACGAGGTTACAAACACAATCAACAGGAGACTGAATACTGCGCTAGCCAGAACTTATCCGGCGGCCAAACTTCAAATTCTGTATAAAACAACATGCTCAATAACTCAATCAAAAGTTGATAAGCATCCTTTTCATGTTACCGCCAATTGTATTTATAAATTTACGTGTACCTGCCAAAGCAGCTACATTGGCCGAACAGAAAGGAGGGCATATCTCAGATTTTTTGAACATGTCCCAAAAAGCCTCAGAACAAGAGAAAGAAAGACTCTAAATAGTGCAATCACTAAACATCTTCTTGATACAGGACATCAGGTCGATACCCTACAATCATTCAAGGTGATTAGTAAGCAGCCAAACTCCAGTCTTCTGAAGTTTGCTGAAGCAGTTGCTATCAGGCGCCAAAAGCCTGATTTATGTGTTCAAAAGGAGATGGTTATTAATCTTTCCTTGCCTTGGTGATTAATATTCCCTCGTTATATCTTATTTATTTTTTTTTTTTTTTCCCCTTAAACTCTTTATTGCATTTATTACACCATTGAGTTTTATTCCAACTATCTTATTTTATTTTATCAACTGAACTCTACTCATTTTATTCCTATCAAGGTTTATTTGTTTCTAACCGTTTGAACTGTTGTCACAATGTTCTTTCATCACATAAGGTATATATTTACAATATTCAGTCTATTAAATTTATTTACACCCTTGCTATACTATATGAATATGTCTTTAATATAACTTCCAATCAAACTCTTTTATGTAAGTAATTTAAACCCATTAATTATGATTTTAAATATCACAGGTTGTAAGCAGCTGACGAGAACCAACGAAATAAAAATGAATTCATGCTATTCTGCTAGAATGTTTGTTCTTGCTCTTTTCAAAGGTAATAAAATTATTGACAAGGGAAAAGTATAAATCCTCAAAAGGTGCAATCGATATCATGACCATTGAACAAGCGTTAGTATAGAAAATAACTTTATATTATCTGTAACAGCAAGTAGTGGATCCGAGTTTCAGTGGAAATATTAATGGTGAACGTTATTTATATCCAAATGACCGGTCCTAAACAGAACAGAACACATATCTTTAATCCCATAGTTAATTACTCTGAAAAATATAATCAATTTATGAAGCACAGTGGTGTATGACACTTGTGCTGACTGACATGAGTAGTATGTAACACCAGTCAGAAGTGGAATACCTGGCAGCAAAACGTTGAGAAGATGGAGTTGAAGAGAACATGAATGTAAATACAGAGTAACTGTAATAAAGACAGCAATAAAGAAATGATGAAGTTTGTAAGAGACAACTGATGAAAGATGTGCAACCGAAGTATTTAATGTATACTTTTCATATTTTACCAAGACACTGTAATTTTATAATGAACATCAAATTGATTTTCACCACCCAAGTTCTAGTTCATTGCATCACCAACTCAATAAAAAAATATAGAACTACGTAACTGATAAACAAAGAGAAAAAAATTAAAAATTGAGTCCATTCAGTCCTAGAAAATTTGTAGTACATTTAAGTTTTAGTTACTGCTTATTTAAAATGTGGGACAAGAGGCAATGTCTAAAAGTAGTTTCTGTAAAGTCAAACACTGTTGGATATTAGGTTATTGGTAAAATAACCCATACGATTATGAATTTCAGCATCACCAAATAATAATAACAATAGTAATAATAATAATAACATTATTATTACATAGGGTCAGCCCTAGCAGATAGGGATCCGGATTAGGATTAAAGTTCGGCATTAGGAAGGTGGGACTATTATTTGTGGACAAATCAATCAGATTTAAGGTAGCAGGTCTTGGATTTTCAAGCGAAATTCATTCGTTTATATGGCTTGCTATAATGATCGGTTTTACACGTCTACACGAATGGGACGTTAGTTTGACTTAGACAAATATCTACACTAGATCTCCTCCCAGTGTCTATTCTACAAGGCTATAACAACTCAGATCAAGAACACGTGATTAGCCTGACTAGAACGTACATATATTTTCACATCAAAACCAACAACAACCAATAATAACAATAAGGATAGGAGAATATATAACTCATCTAATACCTGTCAGACTATCTACAAGTCTGACTAAGCAAACAACCAATCATTAACCTCCTCGCCCACACATTATGGCTAAATAGCATTTTGTCATTTTAGCTTATGTCGGTTCGCGATGAAAACCCTCGCTCTGATTAATAACCGTTACATCCAACTCTGAATCATAATTCGTCAAACTAATTTATAGTCCTCTTTTAACCCTAGTAATTAAGTGAATATTCTCAGGCTCACTTAAGCTTCGCTCAAGGGTTGACTATGAATTGTAGTCTCACCATTTGGTTTATCAGCTGAGGTTAAAGTGGCCGGATACCATTCGGTCACACAAGTACTCTTGACTTAGCGTTGAATTACACTAGGCATTCAGCGCCTATGACCTGACTACATTACAATCAGATCTTAGTGATGTTGATGAAATACAAATCTTATTTTACCTCGTATATATCCTGACGACTAATCTCGTCAATAAAAGCATAGATATAAAAAAATTTGAATATGAAATTATTTAAGGAACGTATACGACCGACAAGAGACGAAGGGATACGTGTATGAACTGAAGTGGCAGAAACGGTCAATTCAGTTCACTATAAAAGTGACTCAACATTTCTAGGCATGAGAAATACAGGGGAGCATACAGACATATAAATACATACTCAAGGTCACGTGGCAAATGACTGAGAAGATTAAAATAATTCATCTGTTCAAAGGTAAGGATAAATCGTGTAGGTATGTAACAGTGCTAGTTGCTAGAAGCTAACTCAACGCTTGTTAAGTATTTCCGATTTCACCTAGATCAGGAATAAGTATTTTCCATATTTGAGTTCACATGCTATCACATTTATTTTATGACTTATCAACTTTAAAAGCATTAAGAACTACATATGAACAACTCTTACTTAGTCGTCCATCATTGCACTATGAATTTCTCAAAAACAAAAATCGTTATTTTAAATATGATTGGTTTATCAATATAATTACTTTCATTTAGTATTAAATGAATGTAATGAATATGGAACTCAAAACAACTTTCAACTAATATCAAATTCACAATCTTCAATACGAATGTCAAGGCAGTTCTACTGTATGGAGCTGAAACATGGAGAACTACAACAACCACCATCAAGAAGGTACAAGTATTTAGAAATAGCTATCTATGCAAGATACTCAACATCTATTGACCGGATACCATCAGCAATAGCCTTCTGTGGGAGAGAACAAACCAACTTCCAGCTGAAGAGGAAATTAGGAAAAGACGATGGAAATGGATAGGACATACATTAAGCAAATCGTCAAACTGCATCATGAGACAAGCCCTAACTTGGAATCCTGAAGGGAAGTGAAAAAGAGGAAGGCAAAAGAACACATGACATCGGGAAATAAAAGCAGGTATGGAAAGGATGAATAACAACTGGAAGGAGCTAGAAAGGATTGCTCAGGACAGAGTTGGATGGCGAATGCTGGTGAGAGGCCTATGCTCCTTCACGAGGAGTAACAGGCGTAAGTAAGTAAGGATGTAATGAATCGGATAATGGATTGGTATTCTGAGTTCATTTTGATTAGTCTGTTAAAAAGAATTAGTTGAGAAATAAATCACAACAGCGACGACAACTCTGTACATATATCATTTTACCATATAATTGTTTAGAATTTTTTTAAAAATAGCACATACAATTGTAGGGATCTAGAGGAGACTCAGAGATAACAGTACAAAAAAATGTAAATATCATTTGATATAATTAAGTTCCATGATAGACAAGACATTACACTGGTATGTATATACGTATTTTATCTCGTATTAGGTAAAAGCAACTATGTCCGATAAAAAATAAAATGGTACGGATAGACTGACATCAAATGATTATAATTGAATGACCAACAGAACAGGTTTCCGTTTCAGTGGTCTATAGGTGTTCGCGCGCAAGACCGAATGTCTTGGATCCTATCAACTGCGGCGAGTTGTTGGATGGGCACCGTGTGAGAATTCTTATATTAGAACGAAACAGCTGTCCAGTGATTCTCGGTTTCCAATGTCACTCTGGCAAAGATCAGTCAGTGATGAAAATTACGAAAATTCAACCATTTCAACAAAACTTCGATATTGATTATAACTAATATAGTTTTTTACACGGGGAATAGTTCAGATTTTACTTAGTTGTTTTTGCGCTTTTTAGCTTACCATTATAGTTATACACGTGTTAACTCTGTGTAAAATACAAAGAATTTCGTATATCATAGAGACGTGAGTTAAAGTCCCAATCTGACCGTAAGGACCAGTGTAGTGAAACTACTATTCGGAATAATATAATCTCTGTTAATCGGTGCTTGTAGCAGCATCTCTATTATAACTCCTGCACGAGCCTATTTCACCTTTTAGACAGAGTGAGTCACTTAACCATTCTAATAAATATCCTCTTCATAAGCAGTTGTCGCCTTCGATAAATATAGCTCTACTATTCATGTCCTCGCTAATTCTATAATTGTATATCTCATATTGCTTGTGTGTTTCTGTACACTTCTTATCCAATATCTATCTCTTTGCTCATATTATTTAATGTCTGTTTTGAGTTATACGAACGCTTGGGGCGAGTGATACTTTGAGTAGACAGATTGTGCTATCTCTGATTCTTACTTTTTTTATCATCTATCTGTATCGAAGGCTGTATGAATTGTGTTTCCAGGACACTCTGGTATTTCTACCATTTCATTCCGTTATTCACTAATACTAAGAAGTTGGTGAATATAATTTAAGTCAGTTAAGAAACTATGTTTTATCATTCGTCGCTGGTGTCAATTAGAGTCAACCAAGCCCATTAAATGTTCATTTGAACTTACTGTTATTCTTATAGTGTTAGATTTCACTATAACTGATCGGTGATGATAACGAAAGCAAAGCAGATTATCTCATTTAACGTTGGAAGTTAAGAAAATTCTATATATTGTTCGTAGACTAATTCAACTCTCATTCTATCTATTGACACCTATCTTATGAAATTCTGTCTATTCTGTGTAAACTTATAACATAGTGACTATAATGAGGCCATCCACAGAGGATATACATATGCCAATTAAGACTAATTAAAATTTTGTTAGAATATCAACAACGAAATTGTAGAAACCATGATAAATTAAATTAATTGTCATTGGTTGATGAGATGTTATTTACTTTGCTCATTGTTTAGTTAGTCCTGCATAAGTCACGTAAACAGCTTCTGAATGATAAGTAACAATGAATTGATGTGACATTCCAGCAAGGGAAACTGTTTACACGTTACATTGGTTGTTTTTTCTTCAGACAGAATCGTATTAGTTTATCTTGCTGATGGAATTGCTTAAAAAGGTATTCAGTGGTTTTACAATAAGTTTATTAACAATTCGGTTTTCATTGCAGACTGAAATTTATTAGATCATTAGAAATCAGGAGCGTGGAGTAACT